GTCGTTTCAAGTCATAATAGAGCTTTTGTTTTCTCTGTGCTACTTCAGTATTCTTTTTTGCTTCTTTAATTAGTTTTTCTATATCACCCATTTTAAATTCTGGGGCTCTTTGTTGCACATAAAATAATTTATCTAACGGCGTTATAATCTTTCTGCCTAAAAATAACTCAGCAGGAGTTTTGCCCGTTGTATCATGTTTTGCGGTCCTAAGGGCGAAAGCAAATTCATTGACATAGTTATCCCAGCTTTTATGAAAATTTTTAACATAACTACGGATAATTTTCACTATATTTCTATTGACCCGTTCCGCTATATTTGATTGCGGCCGATACGGGACCATTTTTAAATGACGTATGCCCAGTTTTTGGCACATGTCTTCAAATATATTACTTACAAATTGAGGACCATTATCCGATATAACTTTTAGGGGCGCCCCGTATTTTAAAATATATTTATTTAAAATAGAATCAGTAACTAATTTCGCGGAGGCTCGTTTTAAGGGAACAATTTCGGTCCACTTACTAAAATGATCAACCATAACAAGGAGATAGCGACTTTTATTTAACTGACTTTTTGGGAAAGGGCCCAATAAATCGATGCCAATTATTTCATTTGGAAATTCGGATTTAATACTATTTAGAAACCCGGCCGGGCGGAAATTAATATAATTAACTGCTTGACATGTTGGGCAGGACTGGACATACGCCCTTGTTAACTTTTGCAGTTCAGGAAAATAGACTGCCTCGCGTACGCGTTGGATAGTTTTTCGAATACCAGCATGAGAAGCTAAAGGGCTGTCATGGAGCTCCTGCAGGATATTTAATCTAAGACTAGCTGGGATAACAGGTCGAAATTCGTTGTTGGAATTCGTAGTTTTTGTATAAATAATAGACCATCTATTAGTTCGTAATGGGCCGCCCTATTTCTTATCGCCACAATATCTTGGTGGCTAAAATTTTCAGGATCCTTTAAATACTCATAAATGCTTCCAAACTCAGGATCCTTACCCAGTTCGGTTATTACAGTTTCTCGGGAATTTATTGTACATGCTGTGAGCATTGCCACCTTTACAGTATTACCTTCTTCATCTATTTTAATTCTGGATAGGGCATCTGCTACGATATTTTCCTTTCCGGGGGTATGCTTGATTACCAGATTATATTCTTGTAGCTTGAGTGCCCATCTTATTAACCTTGGGGATAAGTTTTTCCCTGAGTACAATCTAGTTACCGCCGCATGATCAGAGTACACTGTTATTGGCGCCTTTCCAAAATAGACTCGGAACTTTTGCACTGCTAACAGAACTGCAAGTGCCTCTCTCTTCGTCGCGGAATAGTTTCTTTGTGTTTGATTTAAAGTTCGGCTAAAAAATGCCACGGGCTGCTGATTTTGCGAAAGTACCGCTCCTACCGCATAATCCGAAGCATCCGCTGAAATTTCTAAATTCTCATCCTTTTCAGGAAATTTCAACACAGGGGCTTGCGTTAATGCTTGTTTTAATTTTTCGAAAGCACTATTGGCTTCGGCCGTCCACGAGAATCTTGCCTTTTTCCTTTTTAATTTTAACAATGGTTCAGCAATAGCTGCAAAATCTTTTATAAAGGACCTATAATATGAACAAAGTCCTAGAAAAGAAGAGAGCTTCTTCGCCGTGTTTGGAGTCGGATACTTTTGTACAGCGATTTATTTTGATTCGTCTGTCTCGATTCCTTTCTGAGATATTTTGTAACCTAAATATTTTAATTCAGGGGCTGCAAATTTGCACTTTTCGACATTAACTTTTAGACCGGCCTCATTTAATAAAGAAAACACCTGTCTTAAATCCTGTACATGTTGGTCGAGATTATCACTAGTAATAATGATATCGTCTAAATAGATAAATGTGGACTTTCCAAGAACAGGCCTTAACACAATGTCCATACATCGCTGAAATGTTGCCGGTGCCCCTGAAAGGCCAAACGGCATACGCAAAAATGCATAAGTGCCAGACTTGGTTATAAAAGCAGTCTTAGGCACGTCCTCAGGCCTAACCCCTATTTGAAAATAACCAGTCGTTAAGTCTAAAGTCGTCATATATTTGGTGGATGTTATGTTCCTTAGAATTTCTTCAATAATAGGTAACGGATATACCGGATATTTAGTTATGGAGTTTAATTTACGGTAGTCAATTGCGAATCTCCACCTTTTTGGATGTGTCAAAGGATAGTCATTATTTTTTCTTACATAAAACCACCGGGCTAGCATAACTACTTGAGATGGGCGTTATGATCTTTTTACGTAGCATATCGGTGATATGCCATTCTATAATTTTTTCCTTATTCTTATCATACCGGTATGCTTTGTGGCGAACTGGCATTGAATCTCCGGTGTCAATACTATGGTTAGTAACCTGAGTAAATCCTGGAATATCACTAAATAACGAAGCAAATTCACTTACCACTTGTCGGATTCTTCCTTGCTCTTCATTAGGCAGGTGGTCAAGGTTTAACATCGGCGGTTCAGCCTTTTCTTCACGAACTGGTTTCATTGTCAGCTTAAGGGACGCTTCATTAAAATCCAGCGTTGCTTGTGCCTCTGAAAGAAAATCTATTCCTAAGATTAATATGTGCTTGCAGATTCTTTACTATAAAAAACATAACCTTTACTTGTTCGTCCTTGATACGGACATACAGCGGTAATTTACCTATACACTTACATTTTTTCTCCTTGCGCCGCTAACACTGTCGTATTATCCGAATTATATATGCGGTATTATATTTCCGAAAATACTTCCTAAAAAAAATCTTCTGCCACACAGGAACACTGCGCGCCTGTATCCAGGAGTGCGGTGGCTGGGATATTATTCACCAACACTTCAATCTTCGGAAGAGTCAAATTTTTCACCATTACTGTATTTAACTTGAAGGAAGAGGGGTTTTCGTGGCCTTCGGATTTCCGCACCCTCCCGTCAGCAGAAATCCGTTTTAGTTTAAATTATTTTTCATTTCCGTGCTTTCCTTCTTTTTCCACTGGCCTTGAGACTTTTTTCCTGGATTGCTATTGAACTGTCGACGTTCGCCGGCTGTTTTTGAATGCTCGGGTTTCCTTGCCCACTGATTCGCTTTGCTTCCGTAGCCGTGTGCTTGAGTTTGCTGCAGTCTTGGCTCACCAAATTGGTTTCGCTGTTGATATTGGCGTCTTCTTTCAATGTCCGCCGTTCTTCTACTTTCAAACTGGATTGCTAGCTCAAATAACTTTTCCAGTGTAGTCGGATTTCTTAATTCAATAAAGTCTTGCACTTGGGGCAGTAACCTCGGCAAAATCACTTGAATTATCTCAGGATCCGGACGGTTTCCATACAAGAGTTTGAAGACGTGAATTTTTCTTAAAATAAAGCTTGAGAGATTTTCGATTCTTTGCTGATATATGCTGAAAAGTTCCGTTTCTAATTTCGCACGATCCCTTACGACAGGGAAGGCTTTTACTAGGGCAGTCTTGAAATTTTCGTAAGTATAGGTGGGACTTCCTGCTTGACCCAAGAGACTTCTGCCTATACATTTGAACCAAGTTAAGCGCTTGGCCCCTCAAAGCGCTGGTAGCTAAGGTAACTTTTTGAAATTCGTGCACGGGGTAGAGCATGAAGTGGTCATCCAATTTTTCCAAAAAACTGGTTACCGGTGAGTTTCCATTAAATGTTGCTTCTGGTTTCATCGAAGCGCGCATGGTCTGGACGATGTAACCAAATCCTTCCAGGGCGGCAGCTGGCATTTCTGGATTCTGAGCCGCTTCTGCAGGCAGCACAGGTTCTTCTTGAAACTCGGCCATGGTTATTCTTCTTCGTTGGGCGCCCACTATCAGGTTCAATGTTCCGTCTTACTTTCTTCGGGAACATGCAAGGACCTGACTCGGAACAGAGAGCTTACTAAAGCTATGTTCAATAACTGTGGGAAGTAGACAGGATACACAAGAAGGGTATACAAAACCCTTTATTTTTCTCTTTACAATAATTTCCGTACTTCGGAATACAAGACCCACTACTTGTGGTCTAAACGTAAAAATATAAAAATAAAACTAAACTCTAACTTAACTTTGGAATAATAAACGTGGAAGATTGGCCTTATATTAACAGGAAGCCGTATGTAGTACAGAGAACTGTTGAACACTACAATACGTTTAAAAATTATCAAGAGGATTAAAACCTCTGGCCTGGAAGGCAACCAGCAACTGAGTAAAACTTCTAAGGTAAGCGGCCTGCTTCGACTAACTCCTTCCTCTCTCTCGCTTGGCAAAAAGCCACAACTTAAGTACTTGGCGTTCGCCAGACAAACTTTGCATAAATACATTAACGCTTATAATTCTGGCCGGAAGTAGAAAATAAGAAGTGATAGTAAAGATTTAAAATAAAATAAACGTTAGTAAAACTTAAGATCCTTACACCCTTATATAGGTATTCGTAATGAACTTTGTTATAATCAATAGGTCTTAGACTTTTTGTTGTGAAGAACCGTATGACTAATCCTTTTGAAAAATGCCGCCGCCAATAACGTGCTACCCGGGACTGCCGCCCTCTAATTAGGCCACTGATTAAATGAAATAAAGGAGTAAACATTTGATTATGCTGGTATCAATTTAGAAAAAAAATTTTTGAAAGCATAGCCAATTATACCTAATAAAATATAATCCAAAATTTTATATTTCATATATCTTGGAAAAACCAATAACATCTTGTTTCCAAATGATCAACATGAAGTGATACTTTACTTAAAAGTCGTTGTTATTTATTTAGAATTGCCGGAAGTCATGCACTGGCCACATCACATGTTTTTAAATATAAAATTTAAATGTTAGTAAAATAGGGGCTAAATGCTGAGGAGAAGAAAGATGATAAAAAGTAATATATTCCTTCCCCTAATTATTAAAAAAAACCTTTACACGATTTTCTACGTATAATTTTAATTAAAAAGAAAGGATAATGCAACACTTTCAGAATAAAATAAGAAATTAATTTCAGAGCCAGAAAGTTTAAATAACTTATGAACATTTTATTATTATCAATTTTTATACAATGCTCCAAAACCGCTGGGAAACATTATTTTCGGAAATGTAAACATTTACATTAAATTTTACAATAAATTTGCAATAACAAAACAATGCTAAAAATTCTTTTGTAATACTACAACATCCACTTGTTACAACATTATTATAGGCTTTTAGAAATTGTAAACCTTAAACAGATAGCAGCTATTTTTGAGGTAACTTTTAATTATGATTTAACCTCATATATCAGTAATAAATATTGTTCTAACTTTATAATTGTTGCCAATCATGTTTAAAAAGAGTTCCTTACTATTGTAAATAACAGCTTAAACAACAAAACATTTTATTTGCATTGAAAAACTTTAAAGTACATGAAAGATTAAATGAAAAACATTTTTGATTGGAATGCATACTTGATTTGGTACATTGGATTCATTTCTTTATGCTGGAAACTTTGTTAATATCTGGTTAATAACAATGATAGGAAGCAAAATGAATGAATGGCTCATTAACTGTTATTTAACTGTTAAAAAAATTAACATCAATTTTTTTTTCAAAAATTCCTTAAACTGATAGTAATATACCTCTTTTATGGAAAAATAATATTCTTCAAGTTAAGCCCATTTTTTCCTGAATGATTTGTTGTATTATTCTAAATACAAATATTCTTAACAATAGTTATCAATAAAACTTGACCTTTAAAGAAAAAAAAATTAAACTATTGCAAATACTTGCAGATCATAAATAAACAGATATGAATAATCATAAAAGGAATAAGAGTTTTAAATCCACTGAAAATTAAAATATCAGATTTTATTAAATTAATTTAACATTAGAAAAACTGATGGCTCTTGCTCTAAAATATACTAAAATATTTAAATTAAAAAATTTTTTAAATGTAAAATTTCATTTTTAATGAAATGTTCTAATATATTTTAAATGTTAAAAAGGGAACCTTTGTTAAGCACTTTCCCATTAAATCAAAAATAAATTTCCCCTTAGTGTTGCCACCTAGTTAGATAAAAAATATAAGTGTTATGAAAGAAAAATCTGTGTAGTTTGTTTTGAAAAAAATGGAACTCTTATTCTATTACATTATTGCATATTCCTAAATCTATTAGCTCTAACTTTATGGATTATTTACCGAATAACCAAATTAAAAGTTTGATTAACTTGGATTTTTCTTGTGATATACCTTTTAAAAAATTTATCAGAAATCTCTGAACACCTATTTGCAATAAAAAATGAACAGTAATATATTACTGTTTCGCTTAATACTAAAAAATTAATTAAATTTAAGAAGTTAGCTAAAATTTTGAAAACTAAATAATTTAAATAACTTTTTTAATGTTTTTCAATACAATAAAAATATTTTTAAAGTTAAATTGAAAATTTCTTTACACATTATAGATTTTTATTATATATTTGGATTTGTTTCAATAAACGATTGTTATAAATTCAGTCTATTGAATCTGCAGTACAAATTTATTTTAGAATACGAAATATCGTCTGTTTTGAAACATGAACTACAATTTTTGCTGAAAGAAGAGTGAAAGATGGCAAATATTACAAGTTCAAATGCGATTTTCATGGTATGAATCATTCAAAGATGATATGACGTGAATGCTTTACCATCACACAGAAATAAATTCAGAAACTTCAAAATCTGGTATATCTGATATTATGATTTCAACATTGTGTACTCATTCATTGTATATTCATTTATTTATTGAATTTTTATTCTTAAATTCCATCAATAAAATCACAATTAAAAACATTTCTTTTTAAAGCACCGGAGGAATGCATACACCTTGTTAACGTCGCTGAAGACTTAACAAAATTGACTTTATTTAAGGAGTCTCAGAACATGCAACATTCAACAAATATAGTATTTAATTAAGTATGTATATTTATGTATATATATATAAGGCATGACTATTAAACAGCATCTATATACAGCACAAATTAACACAGATTGTCTAATTACTATAAAAATATTGGTCCCATTTTCGAAAGGATAGTCTTTATTTAGAAAAACGTGTACAACTGAACTCCAAATATCCAGATTAATCGCAAGCCACTACCAACTCGGAGTGAAGGTTTCACATCGCTAATTTTTTCCCTTCATTTTAATACAATAATAACTTATGAAATAATATTAATTGTAAAATATTATTAAAACCATAGATAAAATTCATTTCTAAGTGATTCACTTTATGCTGATAAGCAATCCATTTTTAAAATAGGAAGAATAAATGAATTAATTATCTTAGGTCTTATCCATTAGTGATAATGCGCAGTGCACGTAAATTGTTGAAAAGAAAGCAATAACAAAAAGAGAAGTAAATAAAATCTTCCAAACTCTTAAAAATTATCTGTTGTATATACAGCAGGAAACCTTTCAACCGGTAGCAAAGGGATTGTGCCGATTCCGGATAAGACATTTTTCCGTATAATTGAATACATATTTCTAGAGCTTACATACTCATATTTTGTGATGCCATTTGCATAAATTGCAGCAAGTGATGTCTATTCGTCGTATCTTTTTTTATTATCGGCCGGTGTTAAATAAATAATATCGAAAATCGTACAGAGTATATAAAATTAAAATACATAACTTGAGTTTATATTCCAGAAAAACAAAATTAAATAATATTTTTAAATTAACGTATCTACTATAACATGAAAATTAATGAATTTAGTATGATTAGATGCAACTTCGAATGTCTGCTGGCTTTTAAGATTGTGGCTATAGTTTTAAAAATTGGCTGTGTATACAATGAAGCTTTATAATATCATATATGGACACTGATAAACATTTTATTAGGTAATGTTCTCTATATCTTTCCAGGAAACAGACAAATATGGCGGCCTTCATTGTAAAATGCTTCTAAAAATCGTGGATCCTATTTTCAAAGTTCACACATGGACGCATGAAAAGGCATCAGTAATTCGTCTTCATTTTCCAGATAATTCCTTGATTCATTAGTTGGATAAAGCTTGATAAGTCTGCAGACTGTTAGCTTGATAAAACTTGATAAGTCTGCAGACTGTTAGCTTATTACATACTTTTCTAAATCATAGTCTAAATTCTAGATTTAAATCTAGACTTTCAGAAAAACCTTTATTTTGGTATTGCCGGTTAAGCGAATGCCAGTTAGAGAGATTTTTACAGTATTAGCTTTTTCTGTTACTTCAAGCACGGGAAAAAAATTAAAAAACATACATATAAATAAACAACCAGCTTAATTTATTTGGCCTGGAAAGAAGGGCAAGTGATGCGCAATTAAATTACAAGATATTTAGAATCCGGATAAGTGGAGTTCTAATACACCACGTTTTTCGTAAAGCTGTACGAGATTCGTCTGCTTATAACTTAAAAATTTGATTTCATTCACAAGACAATCACGGTACACTGAAGATAACTTAAAAGTACTAGTAATGAAAGCTAGTTTTTGTTCTGGTAATTATAACAACACAGTAACCTAAGCCAGTGATATGATGAAATGCAAACAAAGAAATTATAGTAAACTTAATGGAATTCCATCATCTGAAAAGTTTGAAAAGTTTTCCTTTGGAGTTTACAGGACGTTTTAGTAATTGTCCTTGTCGGCTCGGACGTCTTTCTTCTTGCTGTTCATAGTTCTTGAGCTTCTTCTTCATCTGTTCGTCCAGAAGAGCTTGCATATCGAGCTGGAAATTAAACAGAGATCTCATTTAAATTAAACTAATAATTGATAATCATTAAAGTATAACCAAAACTATAATTAATATTAAAAGAAAGAAAGAAATTCTGAAAGTATTCAAATTTTAAACGTCGCATGAGAGGATTTTTCAAGTCTTTTTATGCTCTCACTTAGCATCGCAGGTTGCCAGTCTGCTCTTGGACTCATTCCTGCTAACACATTTTTTTTTTTTTTTTTTTTTTGTCTTTTTAGTTTTATTATTAAACATATATTTGTTTCATCGCATTTACGTCATACAAAGTTCAACAGCAAAATCACAAAAATTTTTAAGAACAGCCTACCTTTAGAATTCAGAATATTAGGGATTGCCATACATTTTTTTAATATTATATAATGATTTTAATCAGTCCAACTAGTGTCATTTCAAAAAAATATTTAATATTTCTAATTAGATATTTTCTGATTTAAATTATTTTTTTAAATCAAAAATATAAATAAAGTAGAAAACATATTTTTCAAAACTGCGTTTATTGCTTTTTAATAACTTGGTTTGCTACCCAGTAACAGAAATATTCAATTTGAAAGTTAAGTATGTTACTCTTTATTAAATGATAACAAGATAGTGCGTGGATGTAAAAAATGTACTATTCTAGGCAGTGGTGACAAATTGCTCAAATAGCCGAATTTGAGGCTTAAAATTGAAAGATAAATATTTTACATTTTGCCATTTTGTCTGGAGTGCCGGAGATAAAAATATTTTATGTAGAGTAGTCCTGCCACTTCTCGCTTTTAAATCGTAGAATTTGTTTTACAAAAATTTCTTAAATTTGTACACTGCGCATAAAAAAAGAGAAAGAAAAAAAAAGGGGGGGAAACATTTTTATATCTCCCGTTCTAATGGGCTGATTCATGAAATTCAAATTGCGTTTTTCAAGTCTCGAAAGCACGACTTAGGATATACAGTGGTGGCCAAAATTGTGGACACTTTTGGAAATTTTTATGTTTTTGAACTTTGTATGCTTATAGAAAACGTTACGTTTCATAAAATGCAAACTTGTATATGTCATTTTAAAGAGAATTTATTACAAAAAAAAAAAAAAAAAAAAAAAAAAAAAATCAATTATTTGCAATAAAAAAAAAAAAAGTTAAACGACAATAGTTATCGATATACATTAGATAGTGATGATTGCAGTGAGTTATCAGTACTTAGTAGGGTACCCTTTATTTTTGATTACAGCCTCACATCGGCATTTCATTGAGCTGACAAGAGTTTTAAGCTCTTCTTTTGTTATTACATGATGCCAGGAAACAATTATGGCCTCAATTAGTTCCCTTGGCCATGACAACAATTTAATGCTCTTTCGATATTTTGGCCGTGTGGCAAGGAGCAGAATCCTGCTGAAAAATAAACGAAGTATTGTTGGAAAAGAGATCTCTGATGGAAGGTAGAAGTTTTGGTTCTAGAATAGTGTCAATGTATTTTCTAGCATTCAATATCCCATCGATGACATGAAGGCGACCAATACCATCTGCTGACATGCATGACCAAATCATAACACTAACTGGCTTCTTCACAGTTGCTTGAATGAAGTCAGGATGTAGCTCTTCTCCTATTCTACGTCTTACATATTTTCGCCCATCACTACCGAATAACGATATCTTAGTTTCATCACTCCATATAACTTGTGACCACTGATCATCTGTCCAATTAATGTGTTCCTTTGCCCACTATAGTCTTTTTTCTATCTTTTTTTCTATCTTGGAGACATAGTCCTTTTATTTTTCTGTCATCAATAGATGTGGTGCACCTTTTTCGGCCTTTTTCTTCTTTGTTTTTTATTGAATTTGTCTCCTGATATCGTAAACAAAACTTTCAGACTCCAGATGTAGTCACTGAACCACCCACCTGTCTTGCAATTTCAGCATAGGAAAGACCACTTTCTCGTAACACAATAATATTACATCTCTTTCTAGGTGTCCAATCTACTCTTTTATTTGATGACATTACTTCTTGACTAAATATTAAAAATTTTTACAAAATTCCTACTTGTAATTGCAGTGTATAAGAAACAGGTCCTCCTTCTACAGAACAAAGCAAAACAATGAATTGTTTCAAGTGTAAACATGATGTCAGCTTCTACTGGTAGTTACTAACATTTGATTGGTTCTCAGAACAAGAACAGTGATTGGCCAGGAAAGCTAGACATTACAAACCACTTCCTAACTGTGTTTTTATTTATATTAAAGTACATATAACTTTTTTTTTGTATTGCAAATAATTGAATTTTGTGTTTTGTATTGAATTCAGTAATAAATTCTCTTTAAAATGATATATACAAGTTTGCATTTTGCGAAACGTAACATTTTTTAACAAACAAAGTTTAAAAACATAAAAATTTCCAAAAGTGTCCGCAATTTTGGCCGCCACTGTATATTAGATTTATATATAGGAACTGTTCTAATATAGGTATTTTGACACAAAATCGGACTTTTTCTGAAATAACATGCCAATTGTTTTTCCATATTTCGATCCTACGACTCAAATTATGCCTAAATATTAAATTTTGTAAAATTTAGTGAGAAATTAATGGAGAAATTAATAAAAAATTTAACTTGGAGGATTTTGTCAGTTTGAGCCAAAAATAATTCACTTGGCGAACTCTTAATTTATAGCAACCTATTTTCCTTTCCTTTTTTCACTGTAAACGAGCGGAGGAAGAGCCATCGTTCATTATTTCAAGTAATTTTTAACAAAGTGCGTAAACCACGATTGGCGTTATTGTCGCTTGTAACAAATATGCCAAATTTCAAAACGCGCATATATGTAAATTTAAGTATATCTTAGAAAATTTTGAATCAAAAACTCTAATTTTTTTGCAGGTGTACTTAGAAATACATCTACTTTATGATGATAATGGTAAAAATTTTATAAGTTATAATTCAAAATTTTTTTCGAAAAAGTTATAAAAATAAATCATAAAAATGGGTGAATTTTATTTGGAGTGAACCCAAATTTCGAGTTCTGGAACAAGGAATCAAGTAAATTTAATAAAAAAGAGATAATAATAAATATATATCAAATTCAATTAACACTGAGGAGTTAAAATTTTGAGAGCTAAATTTTTTAAAAACTATATTTTTGCGATTTTTTACAAAACTTGGAATTTGACATAATTTGAGTCGTAGAATCGAAATATGGAAGTAAAATTGGCATGTCATTTCAGAAAAAGTCCGATTTTGTGTCAAAATACCCATATTAGAACCATGCTATTATAGTATAAATCTAATACATAAGCTAAGTAGCGCTTTCGAGACATGAAAATCGCAGGTTGAATTTTGTCAGTGGGCCCAGTAGAACGAGAGATATAGAGCTGTCCCTTTTTTTCTTTCTTTCTTCCCCCCTTTTTTTTTCAGTGTACCAGGTATGAAATAAATCAAAAGCAAATTCGTAAGTCAAAACTCAGGCATAAAGGTATCCATGTTTGGGTTAAGGACTACGTGTATGAAAAATTCGGTGACTCTAGGTGCCGTCGGTTTTCCACAGTACTAGGAAAATGTATGCATGCATGCTGATTCTTCACTATTTAAGTAAAACAGAGCGATACTATTTGGTGCCAACCATTTGAAAAGTGATTCTACATAAAAGTGACAGGGGCAAAAGTGAGTTTTAAGAATAAAAAATATTGTAATCATTAAAAAAGTAATAAAGTCTTGAAAGTAGTTTCGGGTTATGAATAAAAATATGTAGTAAAGTCTTCGATATAAATTAAATAAGTTATCATAACGAGTTAGATCTGTAACATCGGTAAGTAATACCGTGCTTCCAAAAAGTCTTTACCTGGCCAACTGTTGGTCGTAGACATGAGCTTCCAGTTACAAAAAGTGTGTTAAAGGACGCAAAGATTCCTGTTTTCGTATTTTTAAACAACTTTGACTACGAATTAAAAGGAATTACACCGTTTTCGATCCAAGTGAACAAAATCTGTCATAAATAAGGTAAATTTAGCATTGGGGATTTTTTTGACAAACAGGTTTCAGGCTAAAAGCTGGTACATATATGTCCCAGCCGTAATTAATGGTGGGATACATATGTCCCACATGTAGCGATCGACTTACTATAAGCATACCTATTATTCTGGAAAACTTTATTATATGAAACAGGTTTACATTGTATGGTACAGAGTAAAAAGATTTCTTTGCATAACCCAACATTACACATTGGGAAACTCATAATTGTTCTTTTCTCTACAACGAGCACAGCGTCATCTTTATTTTCCAACTATTGAAAGATGATCCCTAACATTCAGGAGATTCTAAGTACTTTTTAAGTCTGCAGTAATTTTTAAACTTTTAGTGGGACATTTGATGTCCAATCAAAGTTTGAATTTAAATAATATGTATTTCGTATAAAATAAAAGCTAATATTTTATGCTTTTCTCCAGTCCTTATATAAAAGAAAAATTTTTTACACGTTATAAAAAATGAAACGCAAAATGTTTCTTATAAGAAAAAATGGCCGACATATTTAATTTCAAAATTTGTGATATTTGACGTCGTTTTGAATTTGTGTGGAGGAGTCAGTTAATAAATAAATTGGAATCATTCCAGTTTGAATTTTTTCCCCTCGTAAGTACCGTTCAATGAATTGTTTTGAAATTTACTAGTGTCTTTGCTTTATATTTTTGTTAGATTTGATATGCCGAAAGAATTTTCACAGAAGGAATTTATAAGTTTTGAAAGTCCAAATATACGTTATTAACATTCTCATAGAATTTTATTAGCTTAAAGTCATAATCTGGTAATTGTCCAAAAAATACCTAAAGGTGCAAATAATTTTCATTTTTTTATTTACGCAAATAAAATTATGAGTTGCCTATGTGGCAATACTGAAAACTATCATTGTTTTCGAGAATAAGATTTTACTAAGATTTTGTGAAAAAGATCTAAAAAAACAACTATGTATTGCTCAATATTTTTCATAATAGTCTGCATCGAAATGCTTGTCAC